CAGGAAGCGCTTGAAGAAGCCCACCTGACGAGTTCAGGAAAAAAAACGCCTTGAAGGAAGTTCTCCCTCGCAGCTTTTTCTATGGTTTTGGGGTGATGATGAAAAACGGCACCTCAAGGAGAAGCGAAAAATCGAGTTTTTCACCCCAAGGGCTGCTTGCATTGGTGGTCTATCCCTGGTTTTGGGCCTCACCTGAAGGAGAAATGGGTATAATGAAACCAGGAATTGGACCGCAGTCTTGCATTCTGGCTTCCATTTGCCATGGTTCCATGTTGGGTGCCTATCTGTGACCCACACCCAAATTGAGTTTGCCCCCAAGCCTCGCATTGGTCTATCCCTAAATTTTTGGGGTGATCGTCGCGGCAAGTAAACAGGTCTGGAGACAGGACCTGATGCCTGATCAACGCCATCCATTTACGGCTCCTCACCGAGCCAAAGCTGGATGTTGAACTCCCCCGAAATTTACAACTTGTCAAGCTAGCTCTTGCACCAAAGCAATCCCTGACTGGTGCACAATTCTAGGGTTCTGGCTTTCAACCTCAGAAGCAAAAAAAACATTTGAGCCCAACAGGGGAGGATCCACAAATCGCCAAGTTTCGAGGAAGGATATCCCACCGGTTCCTAGCGCCCGGTGATCTGGCGGTGGTCAGGTGCATCTTCGTCGAAGTTGGTTTCAACATCTGAGGTTTCACAAGGAGCTGCAGGTTCTCTGAACGAGCTCATGGAACACGGGAGAGCTCAAAACATGCCTGATGCATGCCCGGCCTTCTTGATCCAAGGGAGATTCAACTCGGTGCAAACCTCCGCTTTCAATTGAGGACTCAAGTCACCCAAAAGCTTCTTCTGCGAGACATACAGCACCTGGTCCCTGTTCTGCAAAAAGAAGCTTCTTAGGCGACTCTTCATCTCTGAAGGAAGCCCTCTTTCCTTCATCAGCTTGTTCAGCTCTTGCCTCACAGTGTGTTGGCTCTTGAATCAAATGCCTGCTTCATTCATCTGGGCTGTATGCCTGCTACAGTCGGCTCAACCATTGCCTCAGAACAATGGTTGGTTTGCTTTCAGTGTCCTTTTGCCTTCCCTGATACCAATCAGAAAGGAGTCCAACACTTTGGAAGCTCTGTGCTATGACTCTCTGAGTCTCTGCCTCAGCACTCGGGCCTGTATCTCACTGACACTCAAGGACAAGACTGCTGGCTGTTTGGCACTTTTGCACCTTACCCGGTGCCTGCTCTGCAAGTTGCTTCTTGCAGGCCAAGGTCATGCAACTCTTCCCAGTCGGAAAGCTGGCATCTGTTTGCCAAAGATCAATCACAACTCTCTCAAATTCCTACAAGTTGTTTGGAGGACGAGAAAGGCCGTGAGTCAGGACCTACTTAGCTCTGCCAAAGACCGCCAAAGCGCCAAGACTGATACCCCTGCAGCAAAGGGGCATTTTGTTGCGGAATCCCCTGCTGTCAGCGTTCATCTCAGCCACCTTAGATCCGAAGTGTACGTGCTCCAACAGCATGCTGAAATGCAAAGTACTCCTCAGCAGCACCAGTCCTGATCACATGATTCAACCAGGGATCCTTGAAATCAGCTGAACTGCTCCTTATGCCCAGAGTCGCATATGTTTTTTGAGGAACCATTGGGCCAAAGCCGCGATAGCACACACCTCGCCCAGCACGTATGCCCAGCACAGCCCAGAGCCTATGACCATGAGGGTGCAAACGCAGCGCTCCAGCAGGTTCTTGGGCCCAAAGTCCCCGTAACCCACCGAGGTCATGGTGTAGCTGCAGAAGTAAAACGAGGCGATGTAGATGCTGAACGGGGACTCCTCACTCAACTTGCCGTGGAAAATGATGCAACATGTGAATCTGAACTGGGCTTGCCTTAAAGCAAATAAGAGGAATTCCCCAAGACTGTGGACACTCCATGAGTTCTGATTTGGCTCCTCTGTCTTGATGCCGAACACGATCTCCGACTCGATGTCATCCAGCCATCTGGGGACCCCAGGGTCCACCAGTTGCAGAGTCATGGCCCACACACAGGCCAGCCAGTGGCACATCACCATGATAACCATCAGAAACCGGAGTAGTGCCAGCTGCCGGTAGGGGATCGAGTAGGGTATCTCCCATCTCCTCAGAAGCCTGGAGCAAGGTCAATGTAAGCTCCAAACAACCGAAAGCCGCTCTTGAACACATGCCTCGCAGTCTTTGTTTTGACACCTGGAATTGCAGTTGTGGTATGCGTAGCAACCTGGGTGTTGACGCCTGGCCATGGGTCAAATCCAAATCGTACCGGTGAACATCCCAATCCACTAGACTAAAATGGGTGGTGCGTTCACCTACCAAAATGGGATCCCAAAAGGGTTTTGACCCCAGGGCCACCAGGAAGGACCGAATTTGTCCGCAGTCCTCCAGCTCTTGCAAAGCCGCACCAGCTTCACCAAGCGCAGCACACGGAGCACGCGCACCACCTGGCTCCAATGCTACCAGGGCCTTCCAACATGACAGGACTCCAATTTGTTTACGTCTTTTGTTTGGTGGGCTCCCTGCAAATAATGGTCAACCCGAAAAAAGCGTCGGTTGCTTGACAGGGCTAGTACTTCACTAGGGGGGAGGCTTCCCATTGTCACAGAATGGAAGATGCATGAACATGAACGGCAAACCTTAACTCCGAAACGCCTACGTGGGGCCTGGTTTAGAGACTTAAAGTCTGCTCGCGGCAACGGCTCCCCTAGGATCATCACTTGCTCACTATCGCCCACGGATTGCACTCACAGGATCTGTCCAGCCATCGACTCGCAAATGTCTGTCCTTGTTTCCATTTGGGGGCCCAGTGTACCAGGGTGGGCCCCATTTTGGGGTAACCCTATTGACGACCATACCCATCTCAGTCGCTTGAGAGCCTTGAAGTTGCCGATGCTTTCAGTGTCCATGGCCAATCCTGCGGCATGCGCGTCACCAAAACCCGAGCAGTCAAGCAGAGTCCAAGCCTAGAAGATCGAAAGGCAGCAGCGTTAGGAAGTCAATGGGGAACCTTGGAGAACAGCCATGGAAACTGCAGAATGCAGCCTGCCCGGAGGAAGTGGAAATGAGCCAGAGCGGGTCTCAGTGCATCCGCACGTGCTGAGAAGTCAAAGACATATTCCTTCAGTCTCCTGCATGATTCCTGTCATAGTCGAGTCATGCTCACAACATGCATTGCGAGCCAAACACTTGTTCAAGCACTAGGCATCCTCCGTTCCAGATCGTTATTTCATGTTGCTGTACTCGTGCGCTCAGATCAATCCTACTGGCTGAAAGCTGTATGCTGACCAATTCAAACACCCAACACATGTGACCAATTACATGCCCAACGGCCATTCGTGGCCTTTCAAGCTGCACCTTTCTAGGCAGATTCCAGAAGTCCACTGCCAGAAATCTGAATCAAATGACACTGAAAACTGTTCAGCGTCCTTTTCATCATAACCAAAGGACAATCACTTTGGACAGGTTCAAATTCGCAGATGTGAAACGGCTCAGGCAGCTAAGTGGTGGGAACTCTCAGTGACCATGACTCCGAAAGCAGTTTGCAAGGGACCGCACATGTTGACAAACAATGAGAGGATTTAAGTTGGAACTAGCACTTCGATGTAAGTATTCGCGATGCTTAGCCGTGCCATGCATCTGCCAGTGATCTGGGTGCCAAAAAGAATGGGACCCCAAAAATGTTGGCAGTTGGCTTCCTTCCGGCTTCTCTTTGAACCAAGACCATCAAAAGAAAGACAAAGCCTCATATCGAGCTGCCCAGGCCCCGGATGCTTTGCAGACGCGGGGCCAACCCTTCAGGTACTTCATGCCGATCTTCGAAAGACGCGTCTCCCAAACCACTCCGTGCGGAGTATTGCTGGGGAAGGCGATGAAGAAATTTAGCACAAGGTCGATGAAGAACATCAAATCCTGACGGGCAACTTCTGCAAAGTACTCAAGTCCTCAAATCCCAGACAGGGAACTTGAGGACGAGAAAGCCACCACAAGGCTAGCCCACAAGTGTGAGACTGGGAGCAGCTTGGAGGCTCTAAAACAACCCAGAAACGGTCATCGCTGCTGAGTCATGCCAGTCCCTGACAGGCCCAAACGGACTGGCCCAAAGCCAGGGCCGAGCCAACTTTCCACTTTCAGCAAGCCCGACATGCCTCTCATCAACTTCTGCATGCCGACAAGCAGATGGGTATGTGGGCACCCCACAAAAGAGCTTTTCTTTGTTGTCTCTTTCATTTTGGCCTTACGCTCCAAAATACGCTCACAGACATTCACGTCGTCCGCCAAGCTCTGCCGAGCGTCGACCAGAAAGCTGCAAATGGCGAGCGCATCGATGCGAGCCTGTCAGGCAGTGAGCGTGCAACAAGCCGTGCCCCGGAGGAAGGCCAAAAACCCCGGAGCGCTCAGGCGCTCAGACCCATTGGGTGGACATGTTCAAAGCTACAGTCAGAGTCAAAGACAACCCAAGGGCTGAAAAGATCAACCGATAAATTGATGTTCAGCCAAGGGCAGAACAGTGGACATGTTCAACCCAAAACATGAGTCCGAAAAATGAACGATCTTGACAATCTCCATCTGCATTCTTCCTTGCTTTTCTTGATCTTGAGGGTTCCAGCCTCCAACAATCCAATCTGTAGTGGTGTTACGAGGGCCACGAATACCAGCGCCGCTGCAGTCGCAAGGTGCCAAGAAGACAGCCAGTTGTTGTGCTCGGGGTTGATGATGTACCATGCCTTTGGCATCGCCTCAGGATGAACCCAAGGTCAGCTGTTAAACAAGATATCCAGCTCCTGCGTATTGCTGTGTTCAACGCCTATTGTTCACTGTGCATGGCCATCAGGCGCTACACTTTCACGCACCCTCGTGCACTGATGCTCAAAATATATGTACTCAAGCCAATAGTGCAACTCACCAGCAAAACGAAAGGCCCGGACCAGCACCTTCTTCGAGCGCCTTGGCGACAGCGATGCAGTCGCTGTCGGCTGCCTCCTTGCATGCTAGATTGACTGGCGGGATTTAGGGACTACAATGCGACTTGCAAACAATTAAACAGTCTAGGGTGTAGGGTTTAGAGGGTTTAGGGTTTAGGGCTTGGGGTTCACACCTTCCTGCGCACGAAACTTATGCACATCGGGTAACGCTTTGGCCAACGCGTCATGCTTGCCAACGCACAAACAACACATCTCACTCCACATAAGCCAAGGTCCTTTGATGCTCCCACCCCAATTTGCGCGACCCAAATGCACAAAAGGAACAATCATGTAGAATTGAAGTGGGTGCATTGGCTTGTTTGGGTTGTTTCTGCATGGTTTCCGGGCTATGTTGCAGACCATAAGGAAGCGCGATTTGAAGTTTGCATCTATATCGAGAGTTGAATTCAATCGTGCGGCACGACAAGGTCAAGTCTAACTGTAACGGGCCCGGCCTGCCATAGGGAGTGGAAATAGGTATCTGGTTCAACTCCAGTTCACCGATCTGACTAGTTGTTGGAGCAGGTTTGGATCTAGGCTTTATTCCGCATCGGCTTTTCATGCGATTCATGCGTCACCGCCAAAACACGGGCTTGTGAGTTGGCGAAAGGGTTGGCTGTGGTGCAAATGCGCTGTTTTTATTTCGCCAGGGGCGAAGTGCTTTACGGACAAGGTGCCATGTCCAGCAGTTCACGCAAAGCTCCAGGCCAGGCTTTTGACCGGACGGGTCGGTTTTTGCTGGATCGCATGAGCTCACTGAAAGGAAACATGGCCACATGCGGCCTGTCTCAGGTCTGCAGAACGCGGTTTCCTGATTGAAATGTCGGCAAAAGCATTCTCTAACATCATTGGTATCATAATAACTCTCTCAGAAAAGTGTACCAAACTGATCCAAAATGGGTAAATGGAGCCAAAGACTGGAACAGGTGCAACCCTAGCTCTTAAATTTTGAGCCACACCCGAAGCACTTGGACCTCAGTCACTCCACCCGCTGTCTCTCGGGTCGCGCCTCAGGATCCCCGCCATCACCGAGGAAGTCCAGGAGCCCGGCCACGCGCCCGGAGTTGCCGAAGGGGAGGCGATCTCAACCAAACTCACCTGAGCCGCAATCACCTGGCTCAATAAAATGGCCGTGGCTCAAATTTCCCGGAATTCCAAAATGGGCTGCCCAATCTAAGTGGAAGCATGGACCAAAACCTGCGGTTTGCCCCTCTTGCTCAATTTTGAGCCACACCCAAATGGTCTACCCAGAACCATGTACAGGATTAAGAAGGCGGCAGCATTTATGGCTGGCATTGTCCCTTACCGTCATCTACCCGGGTTTTGATTGTGGCTCGCGTGAGTCGACCCGACATGACGCGCCTTGGGCAAACGGACATCACATGCTCCCCACCCATTCTCCTAGATCGGCTTCATGAGATTGGCTCAAAAAAAGGCATGCAGGTTTGGAATATGGTGAGCTGCCGATCCGAATGCGCAACTTCGGACAAATCTTACCTGCGCAAGAATAACTCACATGGCACGCGGACCAGTCTCATCCGACGCAAAATTGACGGATCTACGCACGCAGGCCGGACTCTGCGCACACAACCGCGCTCGTTCGCGTGTGCAGCGTGCACGGCCAAAACAAGCAGGGCCGGAATTTCCCACATGCACAAACGAGACCACTGTCCACGAGCACATTCTATTGGTACAGCCGCTCGACCTTTCTGGTGTACAAACGACTACCAAACCACTTCGAATGTACAAAGGAAGCACCGCACAGAAAAAAATGTGTATGACCGGAAACAGCTCCAGCGGCAGCCAAACTCAACAAAGTATCCTAGATTGCTGTGCGGCATCAAGGTGCCAACATTGACGTCTGCTCTTCGGCCGGGGGGCTCCATAGTCTGAGCGCACGGATAGCGCGCTCGGGCTGCCAGGGTCGGGCGATGCAGCCATCTTCTTGGGCTTCAGCGGCTTGGGCTCGGGCCGCGTCGTCTGCAAGTGCTGGGAGTCCGCCTCAGAAAGCGACAAGTCAAAACCTTCCCAAGGCATCCTGCGTGGGGAGGAAACATCTGGACTTAACTTCCTCGACCTGCCGATGCGCTGCTTTGGTGTTCTAGAATGGCGGGGACAATCTGCGCGTTCCTTCCCAAAGTGGGCGCCTTTGTGCCGCCCAAGGCGCACGCCAGTAGTACAGGGTCTCTGAGTCGCCCCTCAGCCTTGCAAACTCATCTTCCAACTCACATGTGAGCTGATGAAGCAGCTCTCGCCATCGCTCCGGCATGCCGGGCGTGCGTCGGGCTGCCGCTCTGGCAAGGGCCGTGCTGGAGCGAGGCTCCAAAGATCTCTTCGTTTTTTGATCGTCGGTTCACCCCGATACGCCGATGTGATCCGACGTGCGTGTTTGCTGCCCTTCAATCCGGGCTGCCTGGGTGGTCTTGCCCCGCGAGAATGGCTGCGGAAAAGGAGCCAACGGGTGACCATGGCCCCTGGCATCTGACATGTGGTGAGTGCTCTGGGAGATATAGGTGAAGGCTGCGCACCCTTGCACATGATATCACATGATGATGGAACAAACGGCGTCTGCCTCCATTTCTGAAGATCAGAGAGATATGAACCACAAAAGTTCGACTGCTTCCCATCTTGAGGCCTAGCGAGTCCGGGCGCACCTGCTTGAATTGGGCGAGCAAGGCCCCCATCTCAGAGTCCTGGTCCAATCGCGCGCCCGCTCCGTTCGTCTCCGGGAAGCGATGAGGCCTGGCGACAGGTGATCAGGTGATCAGCGACTGGATGCCATCAGCAACTGGAGCATCTTTCGTTCACTGTGATCCACATCTGTGATCAATACTGTGATCAACAACGGGATGCCAAGCGCGGCTAGCTCTGGATTAATTAAAGGCGATCCAGAGCACCGCAAGTCAGCCATCAGAACTCATCTGACAATTGTCAGTCGTTTGCCAAGTCTGATGACTCCACGGAAATGACTCCACAACACCTTTGTGCGGCACTTTCTCCGGGAAATGCAAACAGTTGACAACGGGAGCGGCATATTGAAGCTTGTCGCCTTCTTCTGCCACTTGGCGGTGTTGTGTTAACGACGCTGCAGAAGTCAAAACTCAAGAAGTGGTGACAATGAGCATTTAGCTACAGACAGTCAGCTCGAAAAAAAAGAAAGAACAAAACGACGAAATGTGCCCCCCCCTGTCAGTCCAAGTTCCCGGCAGCAAGCTCCTCAAGAGTCCTGGCCACCCGCCCGCACGAACACTCTAGTCACAGGAGGGGCATTCGCTGCTGTCTGTCCCTGTCATTCCGCCTTTCGCAAATATCAGAACGAGGGAAGCAGTTGCATAGAAGGCAGGCAAGCCGAAAATCTCGCCTTCCCCACTCCCAGGTCCTGCCCGCGGCTCGTTTGGCTTCTCCAAGCAGCTCAAAATCACCATCCTGCAGGGGGTGCTCTCCTTTCCTTGTTGGAATGGTCGGTCAATCCAGCCACGTGGCTCCCTGACGGCGGTTTCTGGCACAGGGTCGTGCCCTGTTCTGCCCGGAAGTTTCACCAGTCTCACCAGAAACCAACCCGTGGCCATGGGCAAGAGCTCAGGACGCATCCTTTCAAGGGGCTGATTCCCCATACGCCCACAAAATCATCCCCACTGGTCATGCAGATCTATCCAGTTCTGACACTCCTGGGAAGGACCAGGAACAGCTCCACATCGCAGTCAGTGCCTCAGAACTCGAGGCCTTGCAGGTAGAGACCAAGACCTCCCGTTCCCAAGGAGTCTTTAGTCACCTCATCCAACCGCCATGAAACCCAAGGCCCGAACGAGCCTTCGCTCCAAGCGGCCATGGGTCAAAAGCCAAATCGTACCATGCCAATCCAACCCCGACCACAATAATAGGTTCTGAAATGGGTGGTGAATTCACCTACCAAACTGGGATCCCAAAACAGTTCTGACATGTTTTGACCCAAAGCCAAGTGGCTCCCTGTCCCTACAGCCCAGGAACTCCGTCTTTGCTCCAAGCGGCACATTGTGGTGAACGCAGGCGCCAAACTTTGCGCAGTTCGGAACTCCGCGACCTCAGCTCTCGGGGCGGCCGGGGATGAAAAACCTCCCACGCGCCCAAAACCGTATCTCACATGCTCACCATGGAGGACTCGTCTCGAAAACATGCCAGACATCTGAGAGGCATGGCAGCGGCTTGCTCAGAGTTGGTAGCTTCACATGCTGGTGTCATGGTTCCGTGTATATACTGGATGGGGCATGGTGAAAGAGCACAAAGAGCAGCGTTGGCATATCACGTGCCTTGGACACACCTCCTTGTCTGTGTTTGTGAGGGATGCTTCGACAAGAGGGGATGATTACGGTGTTCTGGATAGGAAGCCTTAATTTGATGGGATAATTAATCATCGTGTGCCTTGTGCTTTTAAGCCGGGAGGTTGACCAAAAGAACGCCGAGCTCAGACTGGATAACAAATTGCCAGGGCCTACCTTCGCAACACTCTTTGCAAGCAAGCGGGCAATCCTTGCCAATCTGCAACAGGGAGGGTTGACGCCATTTTGGGGACCTTTTGGCGGCACAAACTCACGGGTTCCAAAACAAGTTAATAATAATTCGTTCAACCCACCGAATTTGGAACCCGTCAGCGATGCGCTCGGGTTAGTCCGAGGTACGATGTCGTTATTGGCCTCAAAGAGTTGCCTCTGCCGAACATAGCGGGCTCCGATCTCCCAGCTCTCCTGCCACTGATTGCCGAGGGCAACTTGGGTTGGTTCCATCTTGGCCTTGTAATAGGTGGCCCTGTAATAAGCTGTTCTTTGTGCATCTTGCAAGTCCAATGGACGGCCAGCTCTGCATAAAAGAAAACAACAAAAATGGAATCCCAAGACATTTGCAGCGGCACCAATCCACAGCTTGAATCGCCCTCAGCTCCTCCCAGTCAACCAGCCTGGCATGGGGCAAGGTCCAGGCCCATCCCTCACTGCGAGTCTCTCTACAAAACCCCTTGCAAATCAAGCCTTAGACCTGAAAGATGATTTTCGCAGCGTTGGATTGCCTGATTTCGAGTCGAGACCTGCCAATGTCATGCAATAGTCACACCCACTATGAAGTGACTGGGTCGGTTGGGAGTGCTCCGCACTCAAGCTATTGGACTCGGCTGCGTCGCTACACAAACAGTCTCGCAAGCAAGCTGGAGATGACAAAGATTGCGATTGATGCTGCAATACCTCAAGCAAGAACCGTCCTCGACAGCCACTCGGTTGTCCTTGTTGTATGTGTTTTTTTCTGTGGACGGGGTGTGTATCCCCAGACATCAAGCCATGGCTTCGACGCGTCGACTGCCAGGAACAAACGCCGCCCGGCCTAGCAACAAGACCCACATTGTTGCATAGATGCCTCAGGCGGCAAGTCCCTCTGACACCCCAGAACATGGAATGGCAACGAATGCGGCGATGTGATTGAACGGATGGCATGGGGGAGCGTTCCTTGAATGATCTCTTGCACTTTGCTTGGGCTCAACGTAACGTAGTGCCCCTGCACCAAGCGAATATATGGCTACATTTGCTTGAAGGTCTGTAACGCGCGACGCGCCACGAATCTTGTTACGGAGGTCTGCACGGAGGTCCTGGCAACGCAGGTCTGTAACGGGAAAACATGTCTTGACAAGTATCAGTAGCACAATGTAGCGCAGAACAACGAAGAGCAGCAGCTCCCGCTCGAGTCGCGACTCTTCAGTACAAGCGCAGTACGCAACGCACGCCTCCGCAGCCCCAGCTTAAATTTTGCAACTGCCGGCACAAAACGAAGCGATGGCAAAAAGGGGGGCCACTGGCCCGGCCTGGGGTTGGGTCTGTAACGAGGTATGTAACGGCTATGTAACGAGGCCTGCAACGAGGCAAAGCAAAGCGCAGTCTACAAAGCGCGCCTTCGCAGCCCCAGCTTGATTGCAGCTATTCCACGCAAGCCACGCTGCGGTAAAACGGGGGGTTGCTGGCCTAACGAGGTATGTAACGGCTATGTAGCGAGGTCTGCAACGAGGCAAAGCAAAGCGCAATATGCAAAGCCCGCCTCCGCAGCTCTAGCTTCATTCCAGCTATTCAAGGCGGGCTGCTGTCTGTAACGAGGTATGTACCGAGGGGCATGCAACCAGCCAAGCGGTTTGCTCATCTGAGGTGTGTAACGAGGGTGTGTAACGAGGGGTGTGTAACGAGGGGTGTGTAACGAGCCAGCGGGTCTTGTTACAGAGGTCTGCAACGAGGTCTGTAACGAATGTCCGCCGCGGCTCTGTTACTGACCCCTCAAAAAAAATCACGGCCATATGGAGTGGCATGCGGGCAGGACTAAGGCGTGCGAAGTGTGTGGTATGTAGGAAAAATCCAAGAGTTTCAAGTTGACCTGGTGTTTCTGAGTTCGATTGGCTGAGATTGATCTGGGTTTTCGCGAGGGAATCTGACAAGAGCTACCCGAAGTCACCTCCAAATTGCAGCTGCAGTTGCGGGTCAACGCGCTCCAGGCACTTCTTCACCTCTCGCAAATACCGGCGCATCGCTTCAAAGGAGCCCACCACATCCTCGGCTTTGTGACTGCTTTGAGGCCAACAACCGACCAATCGACCTGTGGACCGTGGCGCGCCCGCGACTGCGCGCGCGCACGCTGAGGCCAGAGCAACTGCCATGGATACACCGGCGCTCCGGGATACCGCATCTTGAATTGCAGCCGCTGCGAAGCCCTGCAATCTGGTTGCCGCAAGCGCTGCTGTTAGTTAACTTGCATGGCCAACTCTGGAGCTCTTGCAAAGGAAAACCGCGAACCGCGAAGGGGGCCTTACTTTCAGTTGCGGAGCTCGCGCCTTGCCCTCGCCGGCAGCTACGATGTCTTTACCTTCAGATTTGCGGACGTCGGTTTCCCCAAACCCTAAGCCTCACTTGTTGGTTTTGCGCCGTCGAGAGGGGTCCAAAAAAAAAGAGCACCGTGAGAACTCAAAAAAAGATCACCGTGAGAACTCCCTGATCCCCTGAAAGGCCGAACTTGTGTTGCAAATCCATTAAGCCCACGAGCCCGCTCTGGCCCGCTCTGGCCCGCTCTGGCCCTATTGAAAGTAGATGTCACAGTTCCCCCAATTTGAATTTACTCATCCCCTTTGCCCAAGGGAATGAAATAAGGATGAATTTCAAGAAGGGACCCTTTGGTGGACACCAATTAGGTGGGGATTGTCTGTCCACCAATCACTTTTGAGGTGGTTCCTCAAAAAAAGCAATCATGGCCAAATCTACTTTCCTGGTGTGGCCTGTCAAAATAGGGGACCCCAACAAACCGACCATCGACCGGCGACAGCCCGACCGGCGCTTTGTGGGCCAGGGAGCTGGTGAGACCAAATTTGCTCAGCACATCAGCCGCCTCGGCTCGGACCCCAAATTCCAGGCTAGAAAAGCAAATGCCATGCGGCAGTCGGCACATGGTCACGCCAAAAACACGCCTAAAGAAAGCATAGTCTGTGAAAAACTAACTCTGGGCGCCAGGCACTCTCCAAAATGTCGAAGCCTTCAGAAGTCCAGGCTGCAAATCTGTGTCTTCGCTGTCGGACCAACAGGAGCAAACAAACGCCTCGCTCCTGAATGTGTCCAGTTTGATCTGGCATGGCCAGATTTCCAACAAAAGCACGAGAGCTCGTTGACACTCACTGTGTGCCTGAAATGTAACCCCTGATTCAGATTTCGTAATATCCGATTTTTCTGACTGACTCAACCACCGAACTGTGCCCGGGCTCAAATGCGTCCCGCAAGCGGTGGATCTTAAGCGTCCCGCCCAAGTCGTCACGACCCTTGCGACGAAAGTTGGCGACGGAGTTGAGATGCGCAATGCCCTGCCTCAGTGAAATGATCTTGCGATACGATTCACAGTCTGCTGCGTCGAAAGTTATGCTTTTCACACACACACACACACACACGCACGATGTAGCTGCACGATCCAAAAGCGCCTCTGCCTACCGAAGACTAGCAACTGCGATCAACGCAACGTGAATCTCATCTTGCCCTGTGTGCAGCTCAGTCACACGAGTGATTTCTTCAATTCGATGCAGTCCTTGCCCTTGTTTGGAGAGTCCTGCCAAGTCGCTCTGTCGCAGCTCTCATGCTGCAAGTCGCTACCGCAATTTGAAACGCGTTGACAAGCAGCAACGGCAGCTCTAGGCTTCTTTGAAAGGCGTTCATTGCCAACGCACGTAAGCTGCTGGCAACAGCAAGAAGGCTGTAACCTCATTTACTGAAATTGAAGGTTGTTCATTCCATGCTGCAACAACACCCATGCAGGAATAGAAACTCACTTCGTCTTTGGCACATTCTGAAGCCCGACTCCTCCAATTGTGAAAGTCTGGCTTCAAGCTCCACAGCCTGCGGAACTGCGTTGAAAGAACGGAAAGGAGAACTAAATTGTCCAAAACGAACATTGAGCCCATGGAATGGCCTTAGATACATCTCTTAGATGTATCTGCATGTTTGCATTTGCTGGTCAACTAACAGCAAAATATGTCTTTCAGAATGCTACAAGCAGCACAAGCCTTGATGATCAGGCGGCGGGCTTGTTCCTCAATCTCAATCAACTCCGCGATGTACCTTTGCAAAAATCAGTGGGTGGTCTTTCGGACAGGTCGATATTCCAAAGCTGCCTAAGTCTTCGCCTGCCACAAAGACCTACAAAGCGCAAATCAAATGCTTCACCAAGATGCTTGTGCTCAAAGCCAGCCCATGCGACGTCGAGCGCATCAAGCACGGTGCACAGTTCTGAGCGGCCCTGGGCGTGTGCAAGTGAACAACAGCTCAAGGGCCAACGACACCATGAAGTGTAAACATATCAGTATATCTATCGTACCATGGACATGCTCATGTTGTTTCACGGACGCCTGCTGGCGTTTGTTTTCTACAAAGCAATCCTCGCAGTGAGTACGTGATTCAAACCTTGATGACTATCCCTATGAGCCCTGAATCACAAGGTCGTTTGACCCTTTATGCTTGGCTTGGAGGTACACTCTTTGTTGGAAAAGACAGACAGACCAAACGGAAGTCAACCATTGGCCCAGCCAAGCTCGGGACGGGATCGAAGTTCACAGGTGAGGGCCAAACTGGTGACCCATAAAGAATGAACATGGCAGCTTGCCATGCAACATATACCAATTGGACCCAACTCTGCCTTAAAAAAGAAAAGGCGAGCAAAGACCTTGGCCCACAGGGGTGATCCAAACATACTGCTTGCTGAGTCTGTTTCATATTTTGTCTGCCCAAAAATCTGTTTTTTTGGCTTTGGATGCTACCCGAAAGCCAGGGTGCCGGATGTCTGGCGCTGCCATCTGCCGAAGCGCAGCTTTCCAGGATCTGTGTGAGATCGCTCCAAGCCTCACCGCTCCACGATCCCCCCCGTTTTCGACAAAGTGCGACACATGAATGTGTGTTGATGCCTGGCTGTGGGCATAAGGAGACCAAAAGGAACAACACCATCTCTTTATTGTTTAGCGGGGAGTCCCCAAAATTAGACACGCCCAAATGCCAAATCGCTCCAGAACACGCCTGCCATGGCCCCGAAAGCTGCTGTGACCAAGTGAAGGAAACCAACACCTTACGTTGGTTGCAAGAAAATATCCAGAAGTAAAGCACTGCATGAACCATTGAATAGAAAGCTGTAAAACTTGGTGCGAGTCCGCCACGCCACATGGCACCAAGGTATAATGGTCCATCATTTGACCACAATCACAGTCGCCCGCCAAGTGGTGGGTTACAGGGAAAACCCCTATGGCTGCCGTTTCTGTTGGACTCGATTCGCTGGCAAAGCAATGAAGACTGCTTGTGAATTCATGGTGCCCGCAGTGCTGGCACTGCATCACAAATGGCGTCGCATCAGAATCTGCAGCTAGCGCTCCAGGCAGACTCAGAACCCACCCATCTCATCCGAAGCAGAAATTGTGCCAACGTAGATTTGAAGTAAGTGTCTTGTCTGCTGCCTTGAAAGGGCCCTTCCCAACCTTCTAATTCGCTTTGCCTATTCCCACTCCCGCCTTCTGCAAAGCCTCGGCATGGCAAATTGCCTGGCGCTGGTGAAAAGCAAGCTCTTCATGCCATCTGCGTGATTGGCTTTGAGTTGACTCTTAGTCCAATTTTCTCTTGGCAGGTGTGGATTGACCGGGGGGGGCCATTGTATATCAGAGCCGCCACATTTTCACATAGGTTTGAGCACCGGAAAGAACCCAAAATGGAACCCTGGTAAATGGACACATGGACCAAAACCTGCGTAACCCCTGGTGGTTTAATTTTGAGCCACACCCATTTCCATGGCAAAAGAACAATTCAGCACCTTGCCCAGTGCCTCCGGGCTGAGCTCGAATTTGTCGCCATTGACCCAAATGGCCGAGTGCTGGTCAGCGCTGGCCTCAGCGATCAGATGATCCGATGATCAGATCCGGCCGATATCGCTCAGACTGAGTGCCCTGGAAGCACTCAGCAAATGGCATGCACAGCCTGGCTGGAGGTCACCTTTCGTCCATCCATGGGCCTGTTTCCAAAGGCCCCTTTCGGCATGCTGCTCAGTTCTGTTTACAGCCCTTCCGCGCCTTGCTCCAGCCTTCCACGCATGCACACCCTTCACAAAGCGGGCTTTCGGCAACTTGAACTCATGCAGCAAAGAAGGGCTCTTTGAAGAAGGTTGGAAGGGCATGAAAGAACTGCATTGATCCGAGCAGGTAAATAGCTAGCCAAAGCATGCCCAGCCCTCCCTAGCCCCAGCCCTCCCGCTTTCTCCATACGCTCGCGAAGCTCTGGATACAAGCAAGTTGCTTCAAGCACGTCCACTCGGTAGTGCCGCGCATCGTCTGGGAAGAGTGCACCTCAAATCTTGCTCATGATTCAAAGGCGGACAAACCTACAAGTCCGAACAGAATGTGCAAACCAAGACATGCAACGCCCAAAAGCTGGCAAAGATGTGCTTATTCACCTTCTGCCTGGTTGGCTTCGTTGTCTTCCAATGAAGCTGGAGATTCTCAGTAAGAATGCAATCCAAGTTGGATCACGATTTGAGACATGGGGTAAAGGAGCAAAAACAGAAAGACAAACAATCATTTTTTTTGAAAAAAAAAAAAAAAACATATTGATGTTGAATATTGGCTCAAGACGTACAACTACAGCATGGACGCTTGACCTGTTCTGCCAGGCTGCGGTAGTTGGCTGAAAATTTCTTTCGGTATCCCCGTGGCGCCGCCTGGCGGCAAGGTCAGCCTTCTGTGCTCCCAGAGCAGCCATTGCATTCAAAATCACCCACCAAACGAGAATCATGTGGCTGTTGGTCAAAAATAGGTACCCAAAATGGAACCCCGGTAAATGGAAACATGGACCAAAACCTGCGGTCCCCTGGTGGTTTAATTTGACCCACACCCATTTGAAATGTCTCTCAAAATAGGGGTACCCCACAAGGTCTTGTTTTCCGGTGGCTTTCTTTTACTCTCAAAACAAACGCGCAACACACGTTGCTGCAACCCTTTAAATAAAACTAAGCCGCCAGGAATCGGACCGCAGATTTTAGTCTTTGGTTCCATTTACCAGGGCAACCCATTTTGGGGTTACCCTATCTTTGACAGCAGCCAAATGGTCACACACCAAATCCCGACCTCCAGACCAAACGTTTTCGCTGCGGTCTCTACGGAGCTCAGAAAGATGGCGCAGGCACCTTGGTCAAACCGACAAGGACATAGGGACATACTCTAGGAAACAGGGCTGTGGGAAATGGAATCCACTTCTGTGATACAACAATAAGGGCTTCCCAAAGACTAGCCCACCACAGAACGGGGGAGATTCCCTTGTATCACAGAAGTGGGGTAAAACCCAAGATCCCATAACCCTGCTAGGAAACGGTTTGGAAGCGCTCTTTGTGGATTTAACCTATTTGTTTTCCTGTACATAGATTCTTTTTTAATGCTCTTTTAGTACTCTTTTGATATCCTATAGGGGCGGATCCACAAAAACCGCATCCAAAACGTTTCCTAGGCCCCGTGACTGGCGGCGAATGGCAACCTCTGAGTATAGCTATGTATGTTGTGGGATCAACTAAATTTGGTTACTCCCATTCATCCACAAACATATTTTGAGAAAGTGATGCTCAAGGCAAAGTACCCAGCCGATGCCGGTGTCAAGGACTGGACAGGTGGCGACCTCTCTCCCAGCACACGCCTCCTGACGGTTTTGATGCGCCCAAGGCACTGTAGCCAGCTTCGCTACCCACCTCGGCACGGCCTGCGAAGTGCGAAGAGGACGAACTGCGAAGAGTAAGCTACAAGCCTTTGGCGCCACTTTGAAGCCTTATTCCGCAAGAAGCTTTGGTTCAAACCAAACTCTGAGAACCTACCGTTCGCCATGGCCAAGCCCCAGTCAACCACATGCCAATGGGAGAAAAGTACGTGGAATATGCATGACAAGGGAGTGCGCACTAACTCAGAAAAGCGTATTCAAACGGTTCACACACGCGCCTCCATCTAGGAGAAGCGCCCGGTGCGTATTGAGCAACTGGTCTATAGCTGCACCCTCCTCAGTTGACGCTGGCAAGCCCTTCTGCTTTCTTCCAAGCTAGCCTGAGAATAGAAGAGCTATGAAATATCATCTTCTATTTCCAAATGTTAATTTTGAGGGCAAGTATCTTTCAACCATGCCTGTACACGTGTGAGCAAGCGTCAAGGCCATCAGCGCATACTAGCTGCTTACAACAGTCAGTAAAATCACGTCGACAAGTTTTGGTGGCCTAAACCCAGGTAGCTTGCGTCCCTCACGCAGCACCTGACACCATGGCGCATTGCACCTGTTCTTCATCGTGTCACCAAGGCGCTGCAGAATTCGTTGTGCCCCATCCGGTTGTAAGCCGCGACCACCCCGTTCGAATCATCTTTGTGAACTTACCCGCCTCGATGTCCTCTCGCACCGGCTACTCCGGAGCAATGGAAAGACACAGGAAAGCGCCCAAACCCGCGCACACATATATGTATATGAGGAGCGGACGAAACCCTTTACTTGGCCTTAGTACTTTTTTTAACGTCATCGTTTTTGGGGGAGACCTCATCGTTTTACAGTGTTTTCGAACTTTGGCAGATCCGGCTCCAAAATCGCAACTTTCTAGCACAAGTCTAGTACGCGAAGTACACTTCCGCAGCTCCAGCTCGAAATTCGCAACTTTGTAGTACAAGTCTAGTACGCGAAGTACACTTCCGCAGCTCCAGCCCGAAAATTGCGAAATACAATTCCGCAGCTCCAGCTCGAAAAGCGAAACTTGGCAGGCAGTACAAGTCTAATACGCGAAGTACACTTCCGCATCTCCAGCTCGAAAATCGCAACTGTGCAGTACAAGTCTAGTACGCGAAGTACACTTCCGCATCTCCAGCTCAAAAATCACAACTTTGTCGTGCAAGTCTAGTACGCGAAGTACACTTCCGCAGCTCCAGCTCGAAAATCGCAACTTCGTAGTACAAGTCTAGTCGAAGTAGTACGTCGCAACTAGTACGCGAAGTACACTTCCAGCTCGAAAATCGCAACTAGTACAAGTCTCGAAGTACACTTCCGCATCTCCAGCTCGAAAATCGCAACTTTGTAGTACAAGTCTAGTACGCGAAGTACACTTCCGCAGCTCCAGCTCGAAAATCGCAACTTTGTAGTACAAGTCTAGTACGCGAAGTACACTTCCGCATCTCCAGCTCGAAAATCGCAACTTTGTAGTACAAGTCTAGTACGCGAAGTACACTTCCGCATCTCCAGCTCGAAAATCGCAACTTTGTAGTACAAGTCTAGTACGCGAAGTACACTTCCGCAGCTCCAGCTCGAAAATCGCAACTTTGTAGTACAAGTCTAGTACGCGAAGTACACTTCCGCATCTCCAGCTCGAAAATCGCAACTTTGTAGTACAAGTCTAGTACGCGAAGTACACTTCCGCAGCTCCAGCTCGAAAATCGCAACTTTGTAGTACAAGTCTAGTACGCGAAGTACACTTCCGCAGCTCCAGCTCGAAAATCGCAACTTTGTAGTACAAGTCTAGTACGCGAAGTACACTTCCGCAGCTCCAGCTCGAAAATCGCAACTTTGTAGTACAAGTCTAGTACGCGAAGTACACTTCCGCAGCTCCAGATCGAAAATCGCAACTTTGTAGTACAAGTCTAGTACGCGAAGTACACGCAGAAGCTAGAAACTTCGCGCATTCAGCTCGAAAATCGCAACAAGTCTAGTACGCGAAGTACACAAGATCTAGTACGCGAAGTACACTTCCGCATCTCCAGCTCGAAAATCGCAACTTTGTAGTACAAGTCTAGTACGCGAAGTACACTTCCGCAGCTCCAGCTCGAAAATCGCAACTTTGTAGTACAAGTCTAGTACGCGAAGTACACTTCCGCATCTCCAGCTCGAAAATCGCAACTTTGTAGTACAAGTCTAGTACGCGAAGTACACTTCCGCATCTCCAGCTCGAAAATCGCAACTTTGTAGTACAAGTCTAGTACGCGAAGTACACTTCCGCAGCTCCAGCTCGAAAATCGCAACTTTGTAGTACAAGTCTAGTACGCGAAGTACACTTCCGCATCTCCAGCTCGAAAATCGCAACTTTGTAGTACAAGTCTAGTACGCGAAGTACACTTCCGCATCTCCAGCTCGAAAATCGCAACTTTGTAGTACAAGTCTAGTACGCGAAGTACACTTCCGCATCTTCAGCTCGAAAATCGCAACTTTGTAGTACAAGTCTAGTACGCGAAGTACACTTCCGCAGCTCCAGCTCGAAAATCGCAACTTTGTAGTACAAGTCTAGTACGCGAAGTACACTTCCGCAGCTCCAGCTCGAAAATCGCAACTTTGTAGTACAAGTCTAGTACGCGAAGTACACTTCCGCAGCTCCAGCTCGAAAATCGCAACTTTGTAGTACAAGTCTAGTACGCGAAGTACACTTCCGCATCTCCAGCTCGAAAATCGCAACTTTGTAGTACAAGTCTAGTACGCGAAGTACACTTCCGCATCTTCAGCTCGAAAATCGCAACTTTGTAGTACAAGTCTAGTACGCGAAGTACACTTCCGCAGCTCCAGCTCGAAAATCGCAACTTTGTAGTACAAGTCTAGTACGCGAAGTACACTTCCGCAGCTCCAGCTCGAAAATCGCAACTTTGTAGTACAAGTCTAGTACGCGAAGTACACTTCCGCATCTCCAGCTCGAAAATCGCAACTTTGTAGTACAAGTCTAGTACGCGAAGTACACTTCCGCATCTCCAGCTCGAAAATCGTAACTTTGTAGTACAAGTCTAGTACGCGAAGTACACTTCCGCAGCTCCAGCTCGAAAATCGCAACTTTACAAGTCTAGTACGCGAAGTACACTTCCGCAAGTCTCGCAACGTACGTCTAAGTACACTTCCGCAGCTCCAGCTCGAAAATCGCAACTTTGTAGTACAAGTCTAGTACGCGAAGTACACTTCCGCCTCTCCAGCTCGAAAATCGCAACTTTGTAGTACAAGTCTAGTACGCGAAGTACACTTCCGCAGCTCCAGCTCGAAATTCGCAACTTTGTAGTACAAGTCTAGTACGCGAAGAACACTTCCGCAGCTCCAGCTCGAAAATCGCAGCTTTGTAGTACAAGCCTAGGCTGTACGCGAAGTACACTTCCGCATCTCCAGCTCGAAAATCGCAACTTCTCAGTACAAGTGTCGTATTTACAGAGCCGTGTGTTCGTTAAGGGTCATCGTTTTTGGGGGAGACCTCATCGTTTTCCATGGTTTTGGGATGTGTTACTCAAAAGCGTGCCCCGTCTTGATAAAGTGGTCTACGCGTGTTTTGTCCGTGGCTCATATATATACACATGCGCACAACGAAGTGCCATCTCGGAATATTTACTACTTGCTTCATATCATGGGCTTCAACCGTATGAGACTCAAAAACTTGATGGCCAAACTGGCTAAAAACGCCACAAGTCATGGGTGAGGCACGCGATAGACACCCACTCCGCGACGATGTTGCCCCTGAACTTATCCCAAGCAAAGGTCTGGAGTCTAGACCACCACAAAGGATAGCACCCGTTGCAACTCCCATGTCACCGTCCTGTGCACCAAGAGCGAGCCGGTGGCGATTGACGCTGGGCACCTCTGGCAAAACACATCCATAACATGACCCAGGGCCAAGGAGACTCGAGACTTGGAACAGCAGATTGCAAGTCCGTGTCCTTCCTTTCATCTTTGGTTTTGTTGCCCTCTCACTTCGGCACAGAACCCCAGAACCCTTCCTTTCATCTTTGGTTTTGTTGCCATCTCTCACTTCGGTCGCCAGAACCATCCAGAACCATCCAGAACCATCCAGAACCATCCAGAACCGCGAAGCATCCGAACACCAGTGGCCAGGCGTTGCTCCAGCTCTGACTCAACCCTCTCCCTACGATACGGTGTCTCCTTGGATTCGCGGCGGCCAATTGTTTATTCTTGAGGTCACCTACAAGCCCAGCCGAACGTTTTCCATTTTCCCGACCTGTCTTTGGCTGTTAGTCAGTCTTCTGAGGGAGGAACTTATACTTTCAATGACCCAGCGTGTTGCACATAATGGCAAATGCAGCCCTTACTGCTCAACTGCTTCTTCGCCTTTGTCTCGCATCAAACAATTGCCCTCGTGGTCTCAAGCACTTCGTTTCGAGGTTGGCCATCAATGTCATAATGTCGTTTCTGCTGTGGACCAGCCCAACCAAACCCGGCAACTACAAGCGAACGTGCAGCCAGGCTGCGGCGTTTACTGCCAAAACAGGCTGTATTTCCTTTGAGCCAAAATAGCAGGAGTGCCGGTCACGGCAAACGCTGCAAACCCCAGTCGGCCGAGAAGAAATCATACAAGCATGCATATGGCAGAAGTGGAAGACTCAGCGCGCACAACATGCGAGCTATCGCAGCCAATCCGTACTGATCTTGATCATCTGGACGTTTGGTTGATTATTCAAAGGCATTTCGGCTGCCTCACTCTTGCACATTTGGATTGGCAAATGCAAACGTCAGCATGGTGCCCGGAACTTGAATTCGAATAAGTCTGACACTGCGGCAATGCACTTTGATGCCCGTGGTTCCAATAGTCATGGCTATCCGACTCTACTCCGCATAATCGGCATCTGGCTGCATTCGCTTCTTCCGCACATGCCTGCTGCAGCATGAGCATGTGGCCCATGTGCACAGGGCTGAAGGAGCCGGGGAAGACAAGCTGGCAGCGGCTGGCAGGAACGATTAAACTTTCAGCTGCCGGAGGCTGACTGAAACGATCATTGTTAGAAAGTGTCAAAAAACAGCCGCCACAAAGAACAAAAAAGGGCGCCTTGCCATTTGAAGTTGATTCAGCAAATTCCGCCCGCGGTGCCAGTGTTTAATGTATACGTGGAAACAGCGATGGCCAGTCCCACACGAGCTAGTCGAATCCCAAAGCTGTTCTTGAAGGCATACCAATACGGGCAAGCCCGGGAAACAAACAAGGAATGCCAAACAATTCCAGGCCCATGCTGCTTTCAGAACCACCAAGGCCGGAAGCTTCAAACAGGCTGGGTCTGCCACGGCGAGGTTCCGGCCGCTCCTCTTCGTGAGGGCCTCTTCATAGGCCTCCAATTGCATAGGTCATAGTGACTTGTAAGGTGCTGGTAACTGTAGTAGTAGCGGCATTGCAAGCTGTAGCAGCATGGATAGATAGAAGGGTAGATAAAAGCGTGTACTAAGAGACAACTAGACAGAGAAAGGCAAAGTCAAAGAGCATGACAAAGACTGAAAGAAGAAGAGAAAGACAAGAGGAAGAGAACGAGGATTCACAAGAAAATGGAAGATGAAGGAAGAGAAAGAGAGAGAGAGAGAGAAAGAAAGAAAGGTATAAAAATAAAGAGAAAGAGAAAGGTACATATCCGCCAACATTTGCATCATGTCGGACACCTGCCTGCCACCATAAGAGGACGGGGGGCACCACGTACCCCGCGCAAGTTGACGACGTTCCACTAAAAGTAATCTTCGGGCAGCCGGGGTGGAAAAACCGGGGTCGCAGGCTCGAATCCTGCCTGCTGGCTCCCCGTCGGCTCGGGTCGGCCGCTTCAACTGGGCCCAAGCCTGCAAGCCTGGAAGCCCCGCACTGATCCCCAGAGCTCGGCAAACAACGCAGCGTCTTTGCAGATTTTGGATGGGCGCATGCAACACGTGGACCCCTGCTCAGTTGTCAGGCCTCACTGATCCCCATCCATGTTCGATACGGTTGTGGATTTTGCGTTTCCGGTGGCCTCCTGCAATTCGGGATTCATTGTAAGACCGTGAGTGATGACGCCTTGTGTTGCCCGGCACAAGTGCCCATAGCCTAGGTTGTTACCATCAAGAGGTGTGCTCGCGACTTGCCAGTTGTGCAAAGCACAACCTCCTGACACTGAAGCTGACAAACTGCTCAATGAATTTGTGCAAGAATGCGACAACGGTGGAAGCAAGGCCTTCATCATCAGTCTCCAATAGTGAACCTTTGGGCGGAACTTCATGCACGGTGACACGTCGGCGGATTGAGCCGGAGGCTCTGACATAAAATATTGCTTACACTTTCTGAAACTTCCGACCACCGGCTTTGCCAGCTCTACTGGCGGGTCTCGATTTCCAACGCCACATGCATTTGTGATCTCAACCAACTATCTGTCATGGCCGCACCTCGTTTTGAGGGTGTTCCTACCTCGTGTTGCACGAAATTCAGCATGTTACCGTGATGTTGCCCCAAACATGTTTCCGCCCGGCCTTTGCGGTAGACTTCTGTATATAAAGAAGTCACTCATATCGCTCATATTATACACACCTTTAAGCATGGTTTCTGACAAATGCACGAACAACCAATCTACAACCATTCATTTCAGGGTATGTCCATTTGGTATGTAAGCAGGACTTCACACAGCCGCAGGAAGCTGAGGTAACTGAGCAGCTCGATTCTTCTCTTCCGAGCCCCTTGCCAGCAGGAAATCCTGCACAGGCCAATCCTTGGATCGCGAGAGATCTCATTGGTAGCTGCAACACAGACAACATCTCAAGGTGCGACCAATTTTTGTTGCTTGATGCTTTCTTGCCGAGGCAGCCATTTGCAAAGGAAGACAAATAAATCGTGCCACCCTCGTTCGATCATGTTTTCCCCAATCATTGGCATGATACTATCACTGACTACGCCACGCAGCTGGTAGGCATTCCGTTTCCGATACAAGAGGATCAATTCCAACCAACAAAGACGTGGCCTCAGCGGCTTGAATCAGCACCCGCAACGCTGGCGAATGGCTTTAAGAGTGATCGGAGGTCTTGAGTCGCTGCGTGTGGAGTTTTGCAAGAGCGCGTTGGAGTGTATACCTTGTAAACATAATCATCTTGGGAAACTGCGCATCCACAAAAATGCCGCGCAAGACTCAAGCAAAACCTGAGCGTTTTCCGATCCCTGGCTGATTTCCTTCTGACATCAAGTGAATTGAACAGCGGCAACTGTGAAATGAGCAATGCAGTGATTTCGGCAATGTGCCAGGCCCCCTCATGAATCACGTCCAACTGAGAACTCGGCTGGCGTTTGCTTCTCGCCTTCGCACATGCTGGCTCTTGGTCTTATGGGCAAGGCATGGGGGTCTTTGAACCTTTCGCCATGTAAAGGGCATCGCAAGTGGCAGCAGCTAAGCTTCTTGAGATTCCATGATGGCATCAAGCAAGTAAATCCATGGCGCAAGCCACGGAGCCCAAGCCAACCTCTCAACTTGTCAAGTGGGACATTCATGGCTTTCCAGCCAATCGGAGAAAACGCCGTGCTCCTGTTTGGGTCAATGAACAACTTGGCTGACACAGCCCCAAGGTATGCAGTTGGAATCAAATTCTCAACAGCCAACTCGATGCACCAGACATGGGGCGATGCTCGCCTTCTGTCATGGCCGAAGTTCAGCTGGCGGGCTTGGGCCGACTTGCGAGGTCGAGCCATGGAGTCGCCCCAGCGCGAACAACCCCATCTTCCCAAAAACGACCAAACATGCATAGGCCAAAAAAAGGGCCGACATGGACAAGCCAGGGAAGCAAAATAAATGCTATGGATGCTTTGGCCTTGGGCATAGCGCGCCCTCCTCAAGCAAGCCAACCACTGGAGGCATCAATCCGCAGGCTCCCAAAAGGGATCACATGGGACCAACATTGCGAAATGTTCACAGTGGGCCAAACACACAGCACAACAATCCGCATGCAAGACTTCAAAAGGGGCCCAAAGAAAGCATCTCCAAACGTTGGTGGCAACGCCCTGTAATCCACTGAAAAGTCTCCTGCTACTTCCACCTCTTGGCCAGGCGCGCTGTCTTTCTCGGCATATTTGGTTCATTGGCGTGTGCAAAGCAGGTTCTGTCACCCCCCCAAGAAAGAAAAAGGAAAACTTCTGACAAGGAGGGCTGACAGCATCTGCCTCAACTCAAAGTGCCTTACGCCACAAGCGTTGGTGGCAGGTGAAACAGGCCGTAATCTTTGAGGATTCGCCACAGGCCTACCGCAATCAGCTGCCTAGCCTTAGATTCCTTCAGACTGCATTGCTGCACACCTGACTCCCCATTTCCCAAGTAATGAAAGGCTTCACTTCGACACTTCGCAATGTGTCATAGCCACGATATACAACACATTGGACATGCACACCCCTGCCCCTGGATACCGCGATACCGCGATACCGATCAGTGATCTTCAGCAACTGTCAAGCGTTGAAATGATTCATGCTCTGCCATTAGGAAAACACATATACACCCAATCAGAGTTATCTAGCTCCTGTCATGCCGGTCCAGGCACCAATAAACTACAACAAACATGTGCTAGGGTTCAGTTCAATTTGAGTTGCTCAGAAAAAAGGCACACACAAACACACACTCACGTACCTGCACGGCTGTGGGAATCGCACAGGTGGCGGTTGCCAGCTTACAGCTTCACAATGCTTCGGTAAAACTCCTCACCAACCGACTTCGCTGAGGGGCTGTCCAGTGTCCTGTGCCAAGCGAGGCATAAGCCACGGTCAAATCGTGTTTCCAGCAATGGATGTAGGAGAATTGCAAAGTTCCGCAGCAAGTGTTCACTGAGCCATGAGCCAACAAGGGCACTGAATGATCTGAATGAAGGCATGGCTGCTTGCCTCTGCATTCTTTCCCGCTGGTTCTGCATCTTTCGATGAACTTGCTGCGCCTGGGCGAATGTTGCTGAAATTCTGTCCGGATTCCGTCAATGGACAATGCTGCGGACAAGGGAAGTCCTTCCTCCATTGTAATCGCCACAGTCCTTTGAAGGAACCCTGGTGACAAGTGAGTTCGGCTAGGGAACAACCAGAACGGCAAACCTATGCTTACAATCATCTGTGCCATATACTTATATCAAGCGGCTAGGCAACTTGCCCGCACGTTGACAGAAGCTAAAAGCTTGTGAGACTATGACTATGCCCTGTTTCTACCTCGTACACCTGCGGCAGCACAAAAGTTTATACTGCACGGTAAAAAAACAGCATCATGGCCAGTGGTCCTGTGGTATGACGGGAAGACTCCGTTGCGCACACTGGGGCGCAGCGCTTTGAGATTTTGCGCGAAAAGGTCCTGTCAGGTCACTCGCAGTGTCCCAAAAGACGGAAAGTAGCAAAATCGTTTCCTCCCCAGCCAATCAGGTCGATGCCCAAACAAGAGCCAGCATGCCTGCGGCATTCGACTGGTTTATTCCAATGAAGCACATGAAGCAGGCAGTGAGAACATGACGCGTACAACGCTATGCTGGACAACAAGTAGGATAACAATTGACAGCCAGCTTCACCTCAACTGTGGCATGTGTACTGAATGTCGGAAGGGCCCTGAACTCTCGACCGAGTTGATCTAAAAGCTTTCATCAGCATTGCCAACAAGCACACTTTCTCGGAACACATGTTCGGCCACTCAGTTGAGCCGCATATATGGCTCACTGACAAGGTAAATCCACAATCATGGCTTGCTCGACCTGAGCATGTTTGGCCAGAAGGCTTCAATTTGTACTGTTTACACTGTTTCCTTTTGACACAATGCTGAACACTGAACAAGCCCTTGGCAAAGCATGAAACTGCCTATGGTTTCCTCCAGGAATCCAGCATACCACAAAGGAAGCGAATAAAATGATCCTTGCTGTTCTATATTAATGCCACATGCAACTACTTAGAGCCCGATTAAACCTCGCAAAGAACACTCCTTGGAATCTTCGACTGAGTCCTGAATCAGATTCCTTAACTTTGGCCGCCTGCCCGTTCTGCATGGACATTATCCAAACTAGAAACCTCCACATCTCAGCTTAAGCCTGTCAAACTGCAGCAAAAGCATTTGGGCAAAGTTGCAGTTTCCGCGTGATGTACTCCCGCAGGATCTGTCTTCAACCTCCAGACTTGTCGGGAAAGACGTACTCAAACACAGCGCAAACGTTTTCTTCCATGGCATCTCTCAATCGGGGGGGGTCAGGGTCAATATTCTGGTGTGGAACGTTCCGCGGTGACGCGGACGTCTGGAACGAGTCAGTTACGTACCGGACCTCTGGGAAGACATGTGTGGAGTCCTCAAGCACACGTGAGCGAGAGGCAAAACCTAAGACTACTTTGGGCGGGGGCTTCGCTATATCGTTCTGCAATGTTTCAGACACTGGTGTGTTTATGTCAAGGAAGGGTGGAAGGGGGAAAGAGAAAGAATGGAGGAAGCGAGCAGAGGAAAAGAAACTGGGAGGAAGAGAAAGCAGGAGGAGAAAGGACGAAGGGAAGAAGGATGGGGAGGAAGGGATAAAGGAATCCAGGGACTTTTGCGCTGCCGGCAGAGGAATTTCGCGCATGCGTCGCATGCTGGTGTTGACCAACCGCCTGGACGAGTGCCAGGCCTGCACCGAGCTGTTCGGCGGAGCCAAGGGCGAGACTGTGGAGGAGTCGTTGCCTGATCTCCTCACTCGTTACGAGGCTAGGGGCGCCTCCACGCTGCAGGCGGCTGAGGCGGCCAGCAGCTACATTCGTGTGGAAACCAGCGTCCGCACAGCTGGGGCAAGGGAAAAAGGAGGGTGGAAGGGAAGGGAGGAAGAGGAAGGGAGGAAGAGGAAGGGAGGAAGAGGAAGGGAGGAAGAGGAAAGGGAGGCAGGGCAGAAGAAGAAGGAAGGGAGCAAGGGAAGAAGGCAGGAAGGCAGGAAGGCAGGAAGGCAGGAAGGCAGGAAGGCAGGAAGGCAGGAAGGCAGGAAGGCGTAGATGCTGCGCCTCCCCACAAGCTCCATGACATGCTTTTTGACGCTGGTTCCCGACCGCCCACAAGCATGGGAGGTGGAGCAGGGCCCACACGCTGACCACCACTGATTGATGGGTAAGCGGTGGCCCGCCTTTTGTGCTTTCCGGGTGTCGTTGAGGTATCGTTCAGAGTATCGTTCAGACAGCCCTCCAAAACCAGAAAATTTTGCCCATATTCTCTCAGTCCAGGGCATGTGCCAAAACCAGCTACACGTTGCGTGCGTGCGCCTCGCAGCCCGGACTGCTGTCCGGTGACTTGGTAGTTGCAAGCGAGACTTATAAACAACTTGAAGCACAGAAGCACCATGCAAGCACGAGGGGTGTGGTTTCGGTGTCGTTTTGGGTATCGTTTTGAGCAAGCAGTACTTCGGTGGCCAAAAATGCAGTTCACACTCCCCGAGTGATCCGAAAAGGTGTTTTCGACGCTCCAAAATTACTTTTGGGTATGGTTTGGCGTGCCGACTGTGGCGCCTGCGGGTGCAAGCGAGAAGCATGAGCAGCAGGAAGGAGAGCAATCGGCAGCCCAGAATGCAGTTCACCCCCCCCGAATGATCCGAAAAGGTGTTTTCGACGCTCTAAAATTACTTTTGGGTATGGTTTGGCGTGCCGACTGTGGCGCCTGCGGGTGCAAGCAAGAAGCATGAGCAGTAGGAAGGAGAGCAATCGGTGGCCCAGAATGCAGTTCACACCCCCCGAATGATCCCGAAAAGGTGTTTTGCTCTAAAATTACTTTTGGGTATGCTTTGGCATGCCGACCGTGGCGCCTGCGGGCGCAAGGAAGAAGCGTGAGCAGTAGGAAGGAGAGCAAGCAGTACTTTGGTGGCCCAGAATGCAGTTCACACCCGCGAATGATCGGAAAAGGTGTCTTCGACGCTCCAAAATTACTTTTGGGTATGGTTTGGCGTGCCGACTGTGGCGCCTGCGGGTGCAAGCAAGAAGCATGAGCAGTAGGAAGGAGAGCAATCGGTGGCCCAGAATGCAGTTCACACTCCTCGAGTGATCCGAAAAGGTGTTTTCGACGCTCCAAAATCCGCCGACATTGCTCGGCGTGTCGGATACCTAAGAGAGGACTGTTGGATACCTGGGAGAGGATAGAGGATAACCCCCCCCTTAGTCCCCCCCCGGGACACGTCAAATACGCATGGTTTTTCGGTCGCCCCCCCCCCCCCCTCCCCCGCGTACCGCGCGGCAATTTGATGACGTTCCACTAAACGTAGTCTTCGGGGAGCCGGTGTCGCAAAACAGGGGTCCCAGGCTCGATTCCCCCTGCCGGCTTTTTTGCTGGCTTGGGCTTCCTACATCCTTTTGCCAAAAATCTGGACAAACTCCATGTTTTTGGACGTCTTTCATACATTCATCCATTGTACATACATACATTACATACATACATACATACATACATACATACATACATTACATACATACATACATACATACATACATACATACATACATACATACATACATACATACATACATACATACATACATACATACATACATACATACATACATACATACATACATACATACATACATACATACATACATACATACATACATACATTACATACATACATACATACATACATACATACATACATACATACATACATACATACATACATACATACATACATACATACATACATACATACATACATACATACATACATACATACATACATACATACATACATACATACATACATACATACATACATACATACATACATACATACATACATACATACATACATACATACATACATACATACATACATACATACATACATACATACATACATACATACATACATACATACATACATACATACATACATACATACATACATACATACATACATACATACATACATACATACATACATACATACATACATACATACATACATACATACATACATACATACATATACATACATACATACATACATACATACATACATACATACATACATACATACATACATACATACATACATACATACATACATACATACATACATACATACATACATACATACATACATACATACATACATACATACATACATACATACATACATACATACATACATACATACATACATACATACATACATACATACATACAGACAGACAGACAGACAGACAGACAGACAGACAGACAGACAGACAGACAGACAGACAGACAGACAGACAGACATACACACACATATATATATATATATATGCATACATACATACCAGAGAGGGAGATTGGGCATAGAGAGGCTTGGGGGGATGGGGAGGATGGGGAGCAGAGGGAGGGAGAGAGGACGACAGAACACACAAGGGAGACAAGGGAGAGAGGCAGAAGGAAAAAAGGGAGAGGACAATGTTGGCGGACTGAGCCGGAGGCTGTAAAGTTACTTTTGGGTATGGTTTGGCGCGCCGACTGTGGCGCCTGCGGGTGCAAGCAGGAAGCATGAGCAGTAGGAAGGAGAGCAATCGGTGGCCCAGAATGCTGTCCACACTCCTGAGTGATCCGAAAAGGTGTTTTCGACGCTCCAAAATTACTTTTGGGTATGGTTTGGCATGCCGACTGTGGCGCCTGCGAGTGCAAGCAAGAAGCATGAGCAGTAGGAAGGAGAGCAATCGGTGGCCCAGAATGCAGTTGACACCCCGCGAATGATCCGAAAAGGTGTTTTCAACACTCCAAAATTACTTTTGGGTATGGTTTGGCCCTTCCAGCAACCTCCAAATAGCAAGCCGGGGAACGCAGTTTTGAGTAACAAGCCGGGGAGTGTAGCTTTGGTCAAAAGCACCCAATAGGCGCATCTTGAGTGTCCAGTGGCTTGTGGGTATGGTTTGGCTGGCTTGTGGGTATGGTTTTGCCCTTCCGGCAACCACAAAAACAAGGCGTGCAGTTCCGGAACCCAAAGACCAACCCCGCCTTGATAAAGTGATCGACGCATATTTTGACCGTGACTCATGAGCCAGCGTCAATATTTGCTGTGTGGGCTGTATTCATTCTACTTTAAACGAGTCCCCTATGGTTCTCCGCGTTTCGCGCGTGGGTGCAGTGCCCGGCGAACCCCCTGCAGTGAGCAATTTCTGCGGCAGCACTCTTGGAGCTCGGGCTCTTCTCGGATCACAGATCTGCTCGGGCAAGTCAGGCCTTCCCATCCTCCTGCAGCAGCAGATCTCTGAGGAGCAAGCGCAAGCCCGCCAAGGCGTCCGCGGCCTGGCCCGTTGCGGGCCCTTTGTGTGCGCGGAAGGATGTGCGCTGAAGGAGCTGCGCGTGTGGTTGAAAAAGCAAACGCACTAGGTAGGCCTCACATTGGCTGCTCCGGGACGTTCACGGAGTATCGATGGGGTGTCGTTTTGGGTATCGTTCTGGGCGCGTGTAGTGTCACGAAAAAAACAAACTTGCTATAAGCTAGAGCCAAGCAAGCGCACAAGAGCCTTTTCTACCTTGCGGTAGTCATGTGATCAGCGGACTAGACTATGCTTCACGCTCCCAAGCATTGGCGGCTTTGCTTGCTGGCTGCAACTTCCAGGTCGCAATTCGCAACTTTCAGTACCAGCGCAGTACGCAAGTTACACTTTGGCAGCTCCAGCTCGAAGGTCGCAGCGTGCGCCGGTGCCTGCGGGCGCCTGTGCGTGTGCGTGTGCGCGGGTGCGTTAGCGATCCATCTGGGTGGGCCCATCTCGTGCACACATGTGCCCACCATGCATTGCCGAGGAGCATTGACAGGAGCTGTCATGGCAACTTACAGCTTGGGGCAAAAAAATGCTCACACAGTGCAAAATAGAAGCGCGAAGCGCCAGTTGCACGTCATGCGACGTTATCGTTTTTGGGGCTTCGCTATATCGTTCCTGAGGAAAAATACAAAACAAGCAACGCGAAATCGCCGAAGACATATTTTATGACGAGAGAGTTTAGCCTTTTGCTCGTTCATTTAGTGTAAGATGGATAGATGGATGGATGAATGAATGAATGGGTAGATGGATGGATGAAGCGATCAGGGGCGCGCGGCCGTACGATACGGCACCTCCTTGAAGGCTTCTTCGGCGGCATGGCGGGCCGCGTAAGAAGCGTAGCTACTGTGCATGTGGACTTGGTGGCACACGAAC